TTATTAAATTCCTCAGGCCGTTTGCTTGTTCAGTGGCAGAGACCCGAATTTACAGATATAATCGGTGATCTCTTTTCGTTTCAGGGATTTCTAATTCATTTGGATTTGGCGGACACAACTCTGTTGTAGCCTTTTCTGCATTCAGGCCCTGAGCATCCAGTTTGTGTTCACTTGTAGAAGCCGAGTCCTAATTGAGATTTTGTTCTTTATTCTTCACTGAGATTTCCTTCTCTTAATTTTGACTGAATTTGTAAAAGCTGTAGCTGAGTTTTCAAATAGTTGATTTGAAATTTAGCTTCAAGATCATTTTGTTGAACCCATTGAGTCCAGCGCTCGGCCTAATTGGTCCAAGTGTTATTTAAATTTCAATCACATAGCAGCTTCTTCTCTTCAAGCCTTTGTCTTTAGTGTGAGTGCGTGTGAACGGTTTTTTTTTTTTTTTCTTTTCTGAAAATTCTTCCTCGACTTATGTAAACATGTATATGATTTGGTAGAGTGCATTGTTCAATCTGGAGGTGATTCTCTCTTTGACTTCCCTTATGGTTTTTGTATGTTAATGTGGAACATGTCCACATGTGACAACTTTCAATATCTGCATTTTTGTTTTTTTAGGGCCTGGACCACCCGCATTTGACAGTTCTACTTCCATTTGCCATAAACAAGGCAAAAATATAACGTCTAGATTGAGTCCACGTTTAACTTAAAGTAATTTATGTTGTTATTTTATTCTTTAAAACCTTGACATTTTGCGCCAATTATATTGTTAAAAATATAGGTATTTTGCATTTTTTTTGCCAAAAAAAAGGAACAAATCAATAATTGGGAATTAATTTTCACGAGGGATGAATTGAATAAAAAGAAAGAATGAAGTAAGCTAAAAAAAAATAATTGTGAAAGAGTAGCTTTCTCATTTATCCCAAAAAAAAAAAAAAACAGAGAGCGAGACTAGCCTTTTCATTTATGGAAAAAAGAAAAAATTGCTTTCTCCATACTCAGAGGGATAATCTTGTTATATTCTTATAGGTCTTACTATTAAATTTTTATGACAAATTTTTCATTTTAGTGCGTTACCTTTTATTAAATATCTGTAAGAAAAAAAGTATTAATAATCAATATATAATAAAGAAGATGTATTTATAAACTTGAGTTTTTGAGTTGGAGTTAAAACGTGTTATCTTGTTGCTATCTTTGCACGTTTCTTCTCTCTCTTTATTTCTAGATGGTCATTTTTTATTTCTAACAAGTGGTATTAAGTTCAAGTTTTGCTTAGGACTTGTAAGTCCATTATTGTGCACACATTTAAAACCCATAATGGAACTAACCCTAATTATAGCAAGGATTTGTATGCGCCATACCATTTGAGTCTTGTAAATTAGGACTAGCCCTAAAGTGAGAACTTGGTGTTTGGAATATCTTTAATATGAAGAGTTTGTAGACTCACATTTGAAAGAGAGATTGTTAGGTTGTCCAATTGTGAGTGAACTTAAGCCAATATAAAAAGCTTAACATTGGATATAGTTGGGTTTAATAACTAATATAAAATAAAAATTAAAAACTCATAAACTTAAATATTGAGATTTTACATCAAGATGTGATATATTTCCAGTAATCTTGCTTGTTTCTCCTCTCCCTCCATTCTCGGGCAATCACTCTCTATTCTTAACAATTACATAATTATTTTCTACCAATTAATTGATAAATTAAGTCACATTTTTAAAAGAAACCACATTAAGTTATAAGGACAGTTCACGCAGATGATGTTATATATAACAATTATATATTGTCACGAACATTTTGTACCAAAATAAATGCACTTAATTTAAGTACAAATTTCAAAGTATTACATAGAGAAGTCTTTCAAATTGAGAAAGAGGGCATCTTGAGCACACGCTTCAACAATGCATTTCTTCAAATATCTGGAAGAACCTTCAACATCACAATAATAGTACAAACTCAAAGGATGTTGTTCATATCCCAAACTCCGAGATATTGTCAAGATCAAACTGCATGAATTGATTCAGGAAGAAGTGGTATTAGCTACTTAGCAGTGGAACTAAAACATTTGCCAAACATAGGCATGTGTGCTTTGATATATTTTCGTGGCAAAGTTGATTAATTCTTTAGAGCGTGCATGCATCTTAACTTCAACTACATTGATGGCATGCTAAGGAGCACCATCAATCATCATATTATAGTAGTCTATGATGTTTAATTTCAAGTTTTCATTCCTCTTAGACATGGCTGTCTAAGAAGAGGGAAGCTTCAAAAATATTCTATCAGTGAGAATTGTGAGGGTGGGTTTAGGATTTAAATTATCAATATTTTTTATCTAAGAAGGTAAGATACAGAATTAATTTAATCGAAGTTCACGTAAAACTTCCCAAGAAATTCTCCTCCCCTCGTTTACAAGCGGTCACTCCCTAATGCTATCAAGTCATGTCAACTTCCCAATGACTTCTTTTCTCCCCCTATATCTAAGTGGTCGTTCACTATTCCTTCTAATAACTAGTATCATGTACCTAGTGGCCTCCCTAACAACCAGCCCTGTGGAAGATCTAGCGCATTTGCCAAACATAAGCACTTGTGCTTTGGTACATTTTTGTGACAAAGTTGATTTATTATTTAGAGCATGCATTCATCATAACTTTGGCTACATTGATGTCGTGCAAAGGAACACCATTAATCATCTTACTATGGTAGTATCTGTCTTTAATTTCAAGTTTTAATTTGCCTTGGTCATCATTGTTTGAGAAGAGTGAAGCTTTAAAAATATTCTATCAATGAGAATTATGGGGGTGCAGGTGGGACTTATATCATCCTTATCTCTGCATTAAGAATGTAAGATATAGGATTAATTTAATCGAAGTTCAAAAAAAATCCCTTGAAGAAATTCTCCTTTCCCCCTTTTCTTAAGTGGTCACTTCCTATTCATAACGAGTGATATTAGCTTCTTAGTGGCTTCTCCTCTCCCCATTCCCAAGAGGTAGAAACCAAAAAATGGATTAAGTTTGTGGGTTAGTGCGTTCAACCCATCAATTTTAATGAGTTGAATTAAAAGAATTAGCTCAATTTTTAAAATAGGTTGGGCAATGGCAAGTTAAAATAATCTAGCCCACGGGTTAGCCTATTTTTAAAAAAATAATTTATTTTTTCAATCACAATATATTTCTTTATAAATCTACAATAATGACAATATTTTTTAGATCTATAATTTATAAGTCTCAAATATGTTCTTTATATTTGAAAGATAATGTAAATTTTTTTTACAATTTGCAAATGAAATTTTTGTTATAGTTTGTAAATCAATTATTTATTAATTTTTATAGAAATATTTTGAATATATATCATTTGTTAATATTATAAGACCTATTGATTGGAATCACAAATATAAATTCATTGAGAAAAATAATATGAGTTTATATTTATATTTTATTTTAAAAAATAATATTAGAAAAATCATTGTCTATATATACGATATGTTGATTATAAATTTTAAATTATTTTAAAAAATAAAATTGCATTTTGCGGGTTGGCCCGCAAGCTCGTTAGCCTGCCAATGTGTAAGTTGGGTTGGGTTGGGTTTTCTTAGCCTGTTTATCTTGGCGATCTAGCCCAACCCAATCCATTAAAACACTAACATACAGGTTAGCATGCAACCCGTTTGCATAGATCTACCAGGTCACTTCCTATTCTTAATAAATGGTTTTAGCTACCTAGGGACTTGCCCCCACAGTCGATCCACAATAGAACTGACACATTTGCTGAACATAGGCACATATTCTCTAATATATTTCCATGGCAAAATTGATTAGTTCTTAAGAGCGCACGTTCATCTAAAGTTTGACATTGTTGATTTTGTGCCATAGAGCACTAGTAATCATCATATTATGATAGTCTCTGGTATGTAATTTCAAGTTTTCATTCATCTTAGACATGGTTATCTAAGAAGGGTGAAACTTCAAAAATATTCTATTGGTGAGAATTGTGGGGTTGGATTCAGGATTTAGATCATCAATATCTTTGATGTAAGAAGGTAAGATATAAAATTAATTCAATCAAAATTCAAGTAAAACTTCCCAAGAAATTATCCTCTTTTCCCGTTCTCAAATAGTTGCTTCCTAATAGTTGCTTCATAGTAAGTGGTATCAGGTACCCAGTGGTCTCCCTAACAGTTGGCCTCGTGGCAGAGTTGGTACATTAGCCGAACATAAGCGTATGTGCTCTGATATATTTTTGTGGCATAGTTAGTTAATTTTTTAGAGCATGCATTCATCTTAACTTTAACTACGTTGATGTTGTGCAAAGGAGCACCATCAATCTTCTTATTATAGTAGGATTTGGTTTTCAGTTTTAAGTTTTAATTTGCCTCGAACATCGCTATTTGAGAAGAGTGAAACTTCGAAAACATTCTATCGGTGGGAATTGTGGGGGTGTGGTTAGGATTACTCTACATTAAAAATGTAAGATACAATATTAGTTTAAACTTCAAGAAAAACCTCATAAGAAATTCTGGTGGCAATAGTTGAGATGGATGGAAACTAACCAAAATGCTGTTTGCTTGAATGGCTCGATTAAGATTAAAGAGTCAATTGGAGAGTTAGAAGGAGATGAAAAAGCCTCTGGCTTGAATAGCTTGGTCAAGATCAAGCAAAATGAGTCAGCTGTAGAATTTGGAGAGAGAGATAGAGAGTCATTTCTGTTCCCATTAATTTTAAGGCACAGAATGGATTTGGCTTCCTCTCTTCACTGAGTAAAGGATGATCGGAAAGGAGAATAATTGTGAAGAAGAATAGGGCTAAAAGAAAAGATTATCGAAATGATGTTTGGTTGTCTGGAGGTATCTCTAATTCAGTCAGTGGAAGGAGATAAAAATGACGCTTGAAAATGGACGCTCAAGATTTCGCCATCTAAATTGTTTTAAGCAAATTATGTTATGTAGAATAAAATTGGTCATTTGAAACCTATTTATCATGTCCCCAACCAAATTTCAAAGTCCGCTATAATACATTGGGCAAAAGACGCAAAAGCGTCATGCGGCAGAGCCGTTAACTTATTGGTTACGTGGCAGTGTTAGAGGTTCGTGGTTGGAAATTGTCGATAGAGGCATGGCTGCTCCTCTTATCCCCAGAAATTCTACTCTGCACTCCCATCTTCACCGTCATTACCCTCTAAATACTTACTTCACCTCCCGCTCTACCTTCAAATCTCTCTCTCTCCTTTGTTCTGTCAAGGTATCTAACTCACTTTTCTCTCCGATTAATTGAGGCCATTATTATTTATTTCCTTCGTATTAAGCATGATGATTGCGTCTTAACCGTTGTTGTGGTTCTTTGGGCGTAAGATGGAAGGGGCTGAAATAGCCGAGGAAGTATCAAAGAGAGATGGGGAGGATTTGAGTTCAAGGAAGAAAATTTTTGTTGCTGGAGCCACTGGAAGTACCGGTAAGAGAATTGTTGAGCAGTTACTAGCAAAGGGTTTCGCCGTCAAGGCTGGTGTTAGGGACTTGGACAAGGCCAAGACTACCCTTTCCCAAAGCAACAACTCGGCACTTCAAATTGTGAGTATTTTGCATTCCAATGATGTATCAAACACATATCGAGTATAATTTTATCGATTCTGGATGTTTATACGGTTTGATTGCAATTTGGAGTCAGTGATTGAATCCAATTGCAGGTAAAAGTAGATGTCACGGAGGGTTCAGACAAGCTGGCTGCAGCCATAGGGGATGATTCACAAGCAGTAATATGCGCCACTGGCTTTCGGCCTGGGTGGGATTTGTTTGCTCCGTGGAAGGTCTGTCAATCTTGTTTTGCAAGATATAGTTAATGTTAGGATATAGGGCATATTTCACTCATATTTGGTCACGACTCCACTAACAAGATGGAAATGGTTACTTCAGAGTTCAGATTAGGCTTACAGTCGGGTGCAACATCGACACAGTATTGGTTTTTTGATTTTACTAAGTGGGATATCTTGTATATTTTTCTTCTTAAGTGTTTCATTGTTCAAGATAGTGATCCTTCTCTTTCCCTTTACTTTGTCATGTAAAGATAATATGGCTCGGATTTAGTGCTCCATGTGAATGTTAGGGGTACCTGAAGATGTAAATTCACAGTTATTAGGGATCCTTTTGTTCATGAGTTTGCAGACTGTATTGAATTGTTATGCAATTCGTTTTTAGATATCTTAAACATTCCCAAAATGTTTTCATGGCAGAAAGTTGTACCATATACTTCCTTAATTCTTGAAGTCTACATCGTGAGATCCTTATTGTCAAGATATAGTACTTAAGTTCAGATTATATGCTTTGTAATGGACTTCGGTAAATGTGTAACTTATGACTATAATGGACGGAGTTTTCAATGGTGACATTAGCTGTCTCTTCTCTGCTTTGTGTTGTTTCAAAAGTAAAGTTTGGCACTATTTTTGATTACTTATTCAGTCCTATCCTTGAAAAAATGGCTGTCTTCATATGCAGGTTGACAATTTTGGCACAGTAAACCTCGTTGAAGCATGCCGTAGAGTTAATGTGAACAGATTCATTCTTATCAGTTCCATTTTAGTTAATGGAGCTGCGATGGGACAGCTATTCAATCCTGCTTACATCTTTCTAAATGTTTTTGGACTCACTTTGGTAGCCAAACTACAAGCAGAGCAATATATCAGGAAATCTGGTATAGATTACACAATAATAAGGCCTGGCGGATTGAGGAACGAACCTCCTTCTGGAAATGTTGTTATGGAACCTGAGGTATTGCCTATAGATTGGACTCACTTTAGTTTCACATTTTTGTTTTTGTAGTGATACTTTGCTGACACTTGACTTTCTGGTATCATTAGGATACCCTTTATCGTGGTACCATATCCAGAGATCAAGTCGCAGAAGTAGCCGTAGAGGCATTGGCCTGTCCTGAGGCATCTTATAAAGTTGTGGAGATAGTATCTCAGCCTGATGCTCCTAAACGCTCATACCAGGATCTTTTTGGTTCCATAAGGCAGCGGTGATTTCTTAGTTCAGGACTTCATTATGAGTGACGATGTGCTTTCCTGATTTTTGATCTACTGGGTGGCAAATATGTACCTATTGTATTATTACCATGTGTGCTGCTTCAATAAACTGTGGTAATGTTAGATGTAAAACAAAAATATTAAGCCATTTCTTTGAGATCTCTCTTTCTTCTTCTTCTTCTTCTTCTTCTTTTAAAAAAATAGTATTCTTCTTTTTACTTCCTTCTTTAACTTTTAAGTTGGCACAAGTTCTGGCGCAAAAAACAAAAAACAGAAAAACAAAAGGTAGGCACAAGTCGGATATGGAAAGACAGAGAACATGAACATGAACATGAAGATTTATCTTTTCTTCTGTCGCGTACAGAACTTAAAAAGTGGTAATGTTCAATTGGTGTTGATGCTCCTCTTGTTAAGGAAGTAGTATTACTGGAGTAGTATATATTATTCATCTCTGACTTAACGCACCTTGAGGGCTTTTTCCTCGGTTTTTGTCTGTGTTTCATGCTCATAATTTTTGCTGTATTATAGGGGAAAGAAACATTACATATATGGTTAAAAATGTTTGGAAAAATCACTCGCACATAAAATTACATTAAGCATCCGAATTCTCTAGCTACCTCTCACCTCTCTATCCATAAGCATCACCCGTTGATATTAGAGAATCAGAGTAAACTATCTTGTAATCTCTCTCATCTGTCAGAGAACAGATCATCAAGAGCTTACAGGAACCAAACCAGAAAAACCAAGGCTGAAAGAGCAACTGGAGCACTGAGAGGCGCCGCGTGGCTTTCCATGGGTGTGGGTGGAATTGCTGCAACATCTTCCTCTACATTCATGGCCAAGCCAAGGCGAGCAGAAGCCAGCAGAACGATGAAGCAGAAGGTGAAAACCATGGCCATCCCGCAGCTTCCCATTGTCACAGCTCTGGTAATAACAAGAGGTAAAGCTGGCTTGACTTGTCTGTGATGCGGAAATGAGAGTGGAGCTGCTTTTTATAGGGAGAGATTATGATGAAGCGTGAGGCATTTTCATGTATAAAATGGAAGCTTTAGCAGCAAACATAATGATTTGAGAGTGTTGGGGAGGATAATAATGTTATGTCTGCCTTATTTTTAAAAAAACTCAATAGCGGTGCTGGAGCTGGACCGTATAACGGCACTCAATGCCTTGTTGTATGTTGCATTCTGAAAGGGAAACCCTTTGAGTGCGAGTGAAGCATGAGGCGTACCAATTATTTATACATGATACAATAGCCAATTGCCAAGTGTCCGTATTTGTTCTTCATCTGAGGAATAAAATGATAGCTGTAAGTTGAAAGGGTCGCTAAACTTTTCTACATTAATGTTAATTATTATAAAAATAATATATTAAAATTTTTTAGTAATAATATTGGTTACTTTTTAAAATAATTATCCCTTTCATTTAAAAATGTTAGACATTTTTAATCGAATCACACTTCATAATAAAGTAGATAGTTATCTCTCAACTAACACCATTTTTTAATGTTTATCCCTATTTAATTGAATGTTTCTCTTTAAAATAAATAAAAAGTGACTTATTTATTAGAGGTACTTTTGTAAACTTATATTAATTACACCTTAAAAAACTAAAAATATCTTATATTATTTAACATTTAAACATTCAAAAGTTGCCTTACATTTTTAGTATTTTATTTATGAGCCTTTAAGTTTAAACGGACAAATGTAATTGATCTACTTTTTATTAATTTGGGATGAAATTTTTTGTAGGGTTGTGGTTATTGCTTAATTAGTAGTAACCACTATTATATGAATTGTGAGAGGAGTAGAAATATTTTTAGAATTCAGAAAATACTGAAACAGGTTATGATTTCTCTGATTCTTTTCAAGCCTAAGGAACCATGTGAGGTTATCTGGGCCGCTTTTGCTGGAAAAAAGAAAATGCAATGCTAACCCAAAACCAAACAATGGGTGGCTACTTCATAGTTCATCAGCTCATTGTGCCTTTTGCAATATTGCTAAAACTTTATTGTGTACATTTGAACAACTTGAATATTAATTTAGGGTTCGGCCCACCAAAATATCAGATATTTACTTATCTTATAACACATTGCAAATTGGAGAAGTAATTAGATGAACTAGATGAACCACATTATTTATAGTTTGTCCAATAAAAATATAATATTTAGATCATATTAAATACAAATTGATTTTAATATTAATGATAATAAAAAGAGAAAATATAAAAAATTAAATGTGCATGCTGTTATAAGAATATAATCAATAAAAAAATATCACACAAAATTTTATTTAGATTACCTGAATCATTTTAATTGGATAAACCACAAATAACGTGGTACATTTGATCTACCTAAATATTTCTCTATAAATTGTAAAATTAACTTATTGGTGGGATGTAAGAATGGAAAAACTAGGACAACCCTTCATTAGTTGGGTAACCAGCATACACACACAACTTTTAACTACATGGGTTTGATCCTGAAACCTCTTGTTATCAAAGAGAGGATTATAAAAATACAAAGGGTACCACAAGATTATAGAATTATTGGCTTTAAGTTTTACATCTTATATCTTATATTTGTAAAGTTTGTCATCGTTACAATTTAATCAACAATAACTATGATTCTTTTTTTCTTCTTCTTTTTTTTCTTTAAAAAAAGTAATCTTTGCATGTTAATAGTTTATGTGGGACCCATGATAAAAAATTTAAAAATAGGTGTGAGACTCATGCTAAAATAATGCTTGTAGATATGAGTCTTTTAATAAAAAATAGCATGTATGAGATCTAATATTTTTGAAAAAAATAACAATAAAATCTCTCTAAATTATATAAATGATAATTTAATTTTTATTTAGCCCAAAAAATAATTTGATCATTCAAAATATGATAATTTCAATGAAATTTTTAGGAACCTCTTTTTCAATAAACTTTAAAACGAAAAGATTATTTTACCTTTTTTAAAATAACAAGCCCCAATTATAACTTTTATTTAAGAAATAATAATTTTTGTTTTGTAAATTACAAGAGTTTAACAAGAAATTATAACTTATCAAATGTAATTTTTAATATTAAAAAATAAATTTCAATTACAACTTTTACTTAAGAAATTACAATTTTTACTTTGTGAATAGCAAGGATTGAATAATAAATCACATTTGACCATTTCTATTATTGAAAAATAAATTCTCAAAATAACAAACCTCATTCACAACTTTTATTTAAAAAAATTATAACTTTTTTTAAAAAAATATAAGAATTGAATAAGAAATTATAACTTATCAATAAGGATAAAATAATTTTTTTCAATTTAAAATTTATTAACAAAGAGGTCCTTAAAAATTTCAATGAAATCATGGCATTTCGAGAGATTGAATTGTCATTTATATAATTTAAAAAGATTTAATTATCATTTTCCTTTGTTTTTGTAAAGGTAGGAGACTTGTCATTTGTTGCTTATATTTTGCATATGTATACAAGATAATTAATTATATATAAAATGAAAATTTAAATAATAAATTATAAAATAGATGTTTTATTGTTTGAATCTATCGATTCATTCCCTCCATTTTTATATATACAAATTTTAATCAATTTATACAATTTTAAATAATTAATTAATCCTAATAATGATGTCTAAAATTGAAAATGGTGGATTGAGATGCAATCGTGATTAATTAATTATTTTTTCTTAATTTAATGATACTATCATTTAATGAAGAGCAATTAAGGAAAGACATTATAAGTTTTTTTTGAAAATTATTGTTTTGCTTATAAAAAAATAACAATAACCCATGTAAAAATTTTGCTTATATTTAAAAATGGGGGGAGTATATAATAAAATTTGTCAATAGATTACGGTAAAATTACATTGATTTTGTGAGATAAATCAAATTTAAATTTAATAAGTGGCACAAATTCTCTCGGTTAATGAGTATCATACATGACATGATAGTAACCGTTTGATTTAATTAGACTGTTGTAAGATATTTTTTCATATAATACCAAACAAACCACTAAATCTTAAATTGTTGGAGAGGATAATATAAGTGAAAAGTGTTTTGATCTTTGAGTTATTTTGAAATTTTAGAAGGAAATATATCTTGATAGTTTTTAAGCATTAATATATTTAATAATATCCTTATAGATTTATTGAATAAGTAGATTTAGGCCACTCACTAAATCTAAATTTAATATAAATTGCTATAATTCTATTGTGATCTAACTATTTTTACAAAGAAATTTTAAAAAATTAAAGTTGCCAACATTAGCTGTAGACAATTATAGTTAACCATGGTTTTAAAATTATGTTTTCATCTCTCTACTTTTTATTATAAATGTGGTCTAGGTATTGTAAAACCCAATAATTCTTTATTTTAATTTTTTACTTTTAATTTTATATGTTAAAAGAAAATGTGGAGGCTAGTTTTAAAAATGAAAATTTTCAGTTAAGTACTTCTTTAGAGACTTAATTTTATGTGGGTCTAAAAAAATTTTAAAATTTTAGTTCAATTTAGGAGAAAAAAGTCAAAAGAATTTCATTACTAAAAAGACCAAAATACCCTTCATTTATTACATAGAATCACTAGTTGTTAAATTTTTACTGCACTTATTAATTTACAAATACTATTGTAAAGTATATTCTTTGTCAGACAATCAGTAATATTAATTTTTAATTTATTAATTTTACTTATTAAGTCTCTACAGATGTACTTAACCAAAATTTTTTCCTTAAAAAAATGTGATGAGGGACCAAAATAAAAAAAATAAGTAGTAAATGTCAAATGTGTAATAAAATATAAATGGGGAACTTATAGAAAATTTGTAAATTTAAATTTCACAAATTGTAAGAATTTAGGTCTCCCTGCATGAGGTACTAATTATTTAATAAAAAATTTATAAAATAAGTTGTATGTATTCATGCATAAGACGTATTTTAAATTTGTTACCCAGTATAATAAATTTAAACTAAAAAATTGGTGTTCATATATTTAATATCCATGGGGTAACAAATTTTAAAATAAGGTATGATGTTTTTTTTAAAGGATAATAAAAATTTTAGTCCCTCAAGTTACTCAGTCATTGATTAAGTTTTTTTAAATTTAATTTTTATTAGTTTAATTCATTACAATTTTTTAAATGGTCACTTTAGTCATTTAGGTTTTAAAACACAAATTGACCATTAAATTAACTTGACATATAAGGTTATTGAAGATTTGACATATTACATATGAATAAATGAAAACAAATTTACCTTCAATTTAGTTAATTTTATCATTAACTTACATGATTGTCAACTCAATATTCTTTATTTATGTTAGTAAATTTTTTAATGATATATTACCTCTTCTTTAAATAATAAGTTTGAAGGACTAAATTATTATTGAGAAAAATTTAAGGACTAAATTTTATCATTCCTTTTTAAATATGTATTAGGTAATAAATTATAAAGTAAATTCAGCTATCATCTATATTGAATGATAATATGTTAACATATTTTGTATTTATCTATGTTCTAATTTAGTTTTTTAATTTTTAAATTTTAATAACAAGGTGCAATGATCATAAATTTTGTTTATAAAATATGTCATTTATGGTTTTAATATACACAAAATGACAAATTCTAAAGTAGAAAGTTGCTGATAAAGTGAAAAATTTTATAATAAAAAATTGTGTGAATGCTAAAAACATTTTTTGAAAAAGCTACCTTTACCTATGTCAAATAATACTTGAATCTTAGTTAGATAACTGTATCAAAAAAAAATCTTGCTATTTACATTTTTATAAACACAAGAATATATAAGAAATCCTTAAATATAATAGGTGGTTATTTATATTTTTCGGTAATAAATTTTTAACTAGAATATATTGTTTAAATTTTAACTTATATGGGGATCACATGTAAAAAAATTGTTTATGTTCTTTATATGCACATGATATTATATTTTAAAATAATTTGTGTAGGAATAAAAAAAATTAGTACTCCCTCCTTTCAAAAAAATAAAGTATTTTTGAGGATTTGGATCTTAAAAATATAAGACATTTTTAGTTTTTTAAGGTGTAATTATTTTTTTTTTCAAAAGTGCCCTCATTGATAGTGACTTTATATTTATTATAGGGTATTTAATAAAGATAAATATAAAAAATAGAATTATTTGAAAGTAGATAACTGCTTTATTGAGGTGGGATTCGGTTAAAAATGTCTTATATTTTTTAACAGAGAAAGTATCTATATTTTTTATTACTTATAAATATTCTTTTATTAAAAGTACCTTTATTTAAGGTATGGTTGAGTATTAAATGTGACACACTCTCATAGCAGGAATTAATTGTTATCCTCTAATTATTATATATATTTTTATCATACATTGGTAGCCAATACTAAAATAGAAGAAGATATCCATAAATTTAAAAGATAAAAATCTTTTATCAAAAGAAAAAATAAAAATTATTCTAAATATATATATATATATATATATATTAAATTTTAATTTACATGGATATAATATATTAAAATAAATTATTATCTATATTTGATTATACATGACATAACAAATTTTATAATAAACAAGTTATGTTTATTTCCTTTATTAATCACAATATGCCAATGAATAAATGCATATAATTATTTTTTATATTATATCTATTTATTTGTTTTCACACTATACAATTTTATTTCACACTTTCTATAAACTATTACTTTTTATAAAATTAACAAATTAATGTTGGAAAAAATTATCAAATTAATATTTATTTATAATTCAACTTCTATTAATTTTTATAATTTATTTGGATCAAAGAAAATAGTAGAACTAGTTTCAGGACTCATCATACAATGAGTATTGAAAGCTCATTGCTTTTGAACCATTCAGATCTAATTTAGATAGTTTAGATTTATAACTTTTTATTTTTTTAAAAAAATATTTTAATTGAAATAGAATCTAAAATAAAGATAATCTCTTAACTGTTAGTTTTTCAAAAAATAATTTTTTATTAAAAAAAATGATTAAAAAAATATAAATCTGGACATTCAGATTAGATCTAAATAGTCCAAAAAATAGAGAATTATGGCTAGAAAGTTTTTAATTGATTTTTTATTTTTTCTTTCACATCTCTCAAATAACATTTATAATAAGTTTGTCTTTTTTTAAAAAATAAACTCATTGAAATCTTCTATGATTTTTTATTCTTTTTAAACAAGAAATTGAGAGTTAATATTCCTGTATATTGCAGGGGAATAAAATCTAATTTTAATATATAAGGCATTTTACAAATGTTAAAGATAATTAATGTCTATTGATCTAAAATGCCGCTAATTGTATATTGAAAATTGAAATTGCTTTCTTTTGATTTACTAATATATTCAATTTCCCATGCATTAAATAAGGTTAAGATGGAAAAAAAAAAGTTAATGAGCAAATAGGACTTTAAATTATTATTAAAAATTGTTTTGGACCCTAAACTTTTAAATTTATAATAAAATAAACTCTGATCATTAACTTTTTAACATCATTACTATCCACCCAGGTACTGTTCAGTTATTTTCATATGAACTTAACCTGACTATTATAGTACTCGCATGGACAGTAATAATGTTAAAAAAATTAACGGTCAGAGTTTGTTTGCTATAAATTTAAAATTTAAAATTTATTTTGTATATTTTAAGAGTTTTGAGTCCATGGCTATTTTCGAGCAAGAGTTCAAGTTATTAGTTCACTAACTCAAAAAAAAAAATTGAAATTTCAACCACTTATCTACTTTTCTTAGCATATCCATTGTGTAAATATTCCCTTTTTTAATTCCATGATTTAAAACGAAAAAAATAATTTAAAAAGTCCTGTCGCACTGCTATAGTCCTAATAGAAAATTAAAATTAAAACAATAACAATACTATATTAAGACAAGTTGAAGCCTGTTGAAATTTGGTGGCAGAGAGGGGGTGCTTGTTAGATTAAAAGAAAGAGGAGTGGAGAGAAAGGACGGGAGAGGGTTCCTCCCTTTCTTTTTCCTCTTTTTCTCAATCCCCCTATCTCTCTCTTTCTAGCATTTCTCTTCTAATTTATTTAGGAGTGATTTACTTTTATTTTTAAGAAATATTATCTACTATTGTAAGTTGAACTTTCAAAATGTTGAGAAAGGTGAAAGTTTTTTGCCCTTCACAATCATATGCTCTTTTTTTTTTTTATAAATTATTCTTATTAACCTTGTTAATATCATGTAAAAAAATTAAAAATAAAAATATGTAAAATTTTAAATATATTCCTATATAAGAAATTAAAAAATAATACTATATTACTTTTTTATAAAGGATAATTTTAAAAATATTTTTTAAATATTATCTAAAAAATATATTATAATTTATAAATAAAATCAAATGAAAATTTTAAAATAGGCTCTATAAATGAGACCTAAAGGAGTACATTACATGATTACTCCATATCGTCTTCATCTTTTTCTCTCCACCCTATCCCACTATTAGACCTTTTTCTTCAGATTTTATTTTCAACGTGTAATTTTTTTTTAAGAAAAAAGGATAGGAAATATTAAAATTAAAAGATAAAATAACAATATATTAATTCTTTAAATATTCAAAAAAAATTCTTTCTACTCCACCACCATTTTTTTTTCCTGGCCGAGGAATGCACCCGGGTTGTTGTTGATTAATATATATATATATATATATATATGAAAAATGCTCGCTAAACCAAAATTGGTGAAGTGGGACTTCATATTAATACACAATGATAGATAAAGGGTATGTTTAGTTTCTTTTTTAAAAATTATTTTATTTTTTAAAAATAAAAAAATCGGTGAAGTGAGACTTCATAGTAATCCACAATACTATGATGTGGGATACGTATTTTGAATTTAATTAAATATTTTTAAAAATATTCTTATTTAAAAAAATAAAAAATGAAAATAACTTAGAACTATTTTTTATTTTTAAATCACATCACACCTGATTATTGTAAGTTTTATTTAGTTATAGTCAATTACTATCAGGGTCATTGCTCATGTTAAGCCAATGAGGCAGCCACCTTAGACTGCAAAAAAAGTTTATTTATATCTCATATAACCGGTTATTAATTTTCTTGTTAAGTGTTATAGAATATTATTGACAACACACTAACACTCACTACTAGAAAAATAAATTTAAAGAGAGATAATGCCAGTAACATTTGCTATTGTTGAAATTTTTTTTTCAAAATTAAAATTATTTAAATTTTATTTAAAATCAATCATGTTATAAAATAAATTAAGTGGGTTAGCTATATTATTTATTGGATGTGAAATGTTATAATTACTTGATTATAAAAAATTAATATTATATTTTGCAATTCAAAAAGATATAAAGTAATATAAAGATATATAAATAATAATACATTAGTTCTCTTAAACAATTTCATCTTAAGCCCCCAAAACCCTTCACACAGCCCTGATTACTATCATAGATTGGCATCATTAACTGGAGACTACCGCCATTGGCCTTTTTTTTTAATTCAATTCTTTTTTTAAATTAACATAGCCAAATGAATTTTCATTTCATTTTGTTTTGTTTTAGAAAATAATTTTTAAAATTGATTTACGAAATAGTTTAAAAAAAAAGAATTAACAAAACTAAATCGTTATTTTCCACGCACGGATAATAGCCATAAAAACAAGTAGCTCTTTTTCTATGTGTAAATAGATATTTTTTGAATATACACATGCATGCAAAAAATCAAGCAGCTCTATTATAATGTTCAAATTTATAGCTTTCAAGATCTCCTAAAATCCAAAGCAATCAATGCTCACATTTATGGTTTCATTAAAACGTTCTTTAATTAAAAGGTTCTTTATTTTATTAGGTCCAAAGAAACAAATGAAACGTTACTAGCAGCTCGTGACTCGTGTGTCTGCTGCTATAATATTTATGCACACACTCCCACCACATAATATAGAAAACCAGCGTCCGATACACATAAACATATTTCCCATTTGCCAAAACGTGAAGCCGACAATGGAGATTCAGAGAGGTGGCAGAAGCGAGCAGAAACAGAAGCTGCGAGAGATCGAAGTGATGATAATTTCCGCCCACAATCTCAAGAACGTCAAGCACTTGCACAAGATGAAGCCCTACGCCGAGGTCTACGTGGACAAGAACGTCCACGTCGCCAAAACCCACGTCGACGAGCACGGCGGCACCGACCCCACCTGGAACGAGGTAGTCAAGGTCAACTTCCCCGGGGGGCTGCCGGAGAGTGACGTCAAGGCGGCGCTCAACGTCGACATCTACGCGCAGGGGCATGTCAGGGACAAGCTCGTTGGCAGCGCCAGGTTGCTGCTCTGCGATGCGCTCAAGGACGGGGACCCATCGGAGCCGATGGACAACCCGATCCAGTGCACCACGATTCGGGTCTGGAGGGAGTCCGGTGGGGCCCAGGGGCTGCTCCACCTGTGGGTCCCGCCGACGGGGAAGTTTATGTTGAGGAGGGAGTCACTGTCTTTCAGTATCAGGGAGGAGACGCCGGAGAAAGAAATGGTGGCACCGCCGGCGGAGAAGGCGGAGGTGACGTCGGACGAGAGTGATAATTAGCATTTAAAAACTGCGCATTGACTCGTTAAGCTAGCGTTGGCATGTTTTTGTTTTGGGGCGAGAAGCAAGTGTTTGCATCTACTAGAAATTGGCATTAATCGGTCTGTGCGTTAGATTGAAATGGCCGTAACTTATTTATGTTCACAAAGCGGTGGCGACCAAACAAACATTAAATAGTTTTAATTTAATGAAAGTAGGGAATTAGTTTAATTGCTATCTTTATTGTTACTGTTGTTGTTGTTATTTTTTCTTGGGATAACACGAGAGGGTATAGGAGCCTTTAAACAAGAATCGAGACGCAGTGGCTGCTGATGAAGAAATATGAATCGAGGTGATTGATGAGGTGGCTGGCTTTAGCGAGATTGTGAGCACACGTATTGCCTTCAAGTGCCACGTAATAGCCATGCACAGCTCATTCTTACGTGGAAGCAAATGAAGAATGTGAAAGCGAATTTGCTGGATCCGGCCAGTGACGGCGATTTTATGAAAGGAAAAATCTTGTTATTGTTGTTGGTCTTTCTAGTTATTTCCGTTGCTTTCTATTCCTTTTATTTTATAACTCAGTCTTTTAATCTTTTTAATTTTTTTCAAAAATTTAAATGAGTTAGATCTTGCTTAAAAATGTCAGAGCATACCTCCAAACTTAAAATGGTTATAAAAGTATATGCATATTACCTATCAACAAGTTTTTTCTATTGACAGTGAAACTTGATAGGTCATGAATTAATTTTTTATTAATTACACCAACGTTTATTAGTGTAGTCTTTTTTTAACATTTCTCATTTGTATTTTTTTAAATTTTAAAAGATGCCCATAAAAATCATGAACATTTAAATGGTCTTTATCTTGAGTTGATTTTTGTCTGTCTCTTATAAATGGGTTCTAAGGGAGTGATAATAAACAAAAATTACTTTCAGATCGTAAGTAATTTAAATAAAAATATCTCATAAAATCACAAAATCATTCTAAAGTTATATATCTTTTACTCAAGTTGTTAATTTGTTATATCAATAATTGTTAGCAGAGTTATTCAGTTAATAACTAAACAGTGATAAACTAATAATTATCATTATCTAAATAACAATTGACAAGTAAAAAAAAACACAAGACCTCGATAGTTTTATAATTTTATAAAAAAATTCGTTTAAATTATTTTTTGGGTAATAGTATATTATTTAAATTTTTTTTTTGTCGCGTGATGCTGACAGTAATTTTCTTTAGTAGTAATTTAATTTGAATGGTCCAAAAGCAGGTCATAGTCTCTTAATTAACAAAAAGGTTAAAATTTAAATAATATTATTTCATACAGTCTAGCTCTCACTCCTATATGCGGAGGTGCTTTCCCTTGCTCAGTGCTAAGGAAAAGCGTGGTCAATGGAATCTCACAGTGACCAGAGTCATCATCACCATGACCATAGCGCCGATCGCCACCACCATCATTCCCATGGAGATTCGGGTGCGCAGTCCTGGGTAGGAACCGACGGGAGGGTGTACCATAGTCACGATGGTCTAGCACCACATTCTCACGAACCCATCTACTCGCCGGGCTTCTTCAACAGAAGAGCTCCTCCTCTTCTCAACAGAGATTTCAACGAAAGAGCTTTCACTGTTGGTATCGGCGGACCAGTCGGTACTGGGTATCTTCTCCTAACCCTTGAAATGAATTATCCACTTTTGTCGATTTCCACTTTTTGTTTTAATTTTCTTTTTGGGGTAATTGATATCTCTTGTACTTTTGCAATGAGAAAGCAGTAATTGATGGTTACTATCTCTCTGTCTGACTCTGTCCTGAGAATGAAACTAAGCAGAAATCAGTAAGAATCGTTTTGGAAAACTTTTGGAAAATATCTAGACAAAGCAATGCTTTTTAGCCTTTTAGGTACTAGCTTCTTACTTGTTTAGCATCTGGTGCTAAAATTAGGATGGATGCTTAAATTCGTTGAGCTCAGTGATACTGGTAGCTTTAGTTTGTACATGGCCAAAAATAGTTTCTTTAACGAATTTTCCTCGACCTAAAATGTTCCATAAAAAAAAAAAAAAAAGTGGCACAAAGAAAGAATATTGATAGATCCATTTTATCTATTTTCAAACCCCCCTTTTTTGCTGCCTCTCGCATTTTATAGATTTTTTTTAAATTGAGAGCATCCAACTGAGACATAATTATGATACCCTTAATTGAATTAACAGTTTCTTTCCCGATAAATTGCTAAATTAGTTGGTGACTTTTCATGAGATAATTCTTTTGCATGATACGATATCTGGAATAATAAGACCAAAAATTAACCAATTATTTTTTCATAGACGTGCAGAGTAGTGTTGAACATATTACGACCTAACGAGGGAGACATTGACTATATCTTTTGTTAGAACCCTTTATATACAGACGAAAAGTTTCTACTTTCTACATTTTGGACAAATAATATTTCAGATGCGTTACTCTGAATGCTTATTTCCCTTTGAAATTTAGACATGGATGATGAAAGAAAGTCAAACACTTGAAATGTCTTCTTTTCCTTGGCCTTTCCTCTTTTTCCCTGAAATGTCATGGTGGGATTTCTGTTGTAGTTTCGCTGTTTTACTGCAAACAATATGTGATTGATGTTGGTGGGTTATCAACGATTTCACCGTGCAGGAAAACGGCTTTAATGTTGGCTCTTTGTGAACATCTGCGAGACAAGTACAGCCTTGCTGCAGTAAGTACTTAGTATGTTCAACACCACCACTAATGTAGATCAGTTTGTATTGGTTGGCATAGTCTCATGTAGGCTCAGTTGCTCTTATATCATTTGGTTGTTCAAATATGTCCTTAACTAATGTGGTTTTTACTCAAGTTTATCTATGAGAAATGATGTGTTTTTGCAATTGCATGACTCTTTGGGCAATATTGCTAGTCCAAAAACATTGCTTTCGAAGAGTCTCTATGCTTCTATTTGGTATGATAGATTGGGAAAACCTGTTTCCTTTCAGGTGACAAATGATATATTCACTAAAGAGGATGGTGAATTCTTGGTGAAACATAAAGCACTTCCAGAGGAAAGGATACGGGCAATAGAAACTGGGGGATGCCCACATGCTGCAATTCGGGAGGATATCAGCATCAATCTTGGACCACTGGAGGAGCTTTCCAACTTGTTCAAAGCAGATATACTTCTTTGTGAATCTGGGGGAGGTAATTTACATGATTAACTGGACTATAGTCTATAATTTAAGCATTGTTAGGATGCTAAGTTTTACTCATCATGTTTAACTTGGTTACGTTGCAGTTATATAGTTGTTCTGAATTTGACAAAATGTCAGAGAAACATGAAGAAGGGATGTTTGTTGTTATATGCATCCCTTGCTTCTTTCTTGTTGTAAAGGGAAACAGAATTATCCCTGAAACTTTTTGAACATCAACCCCTATTTGTTGCAGATAACCTAGCAGCCAATTTCAGCAGGGAGCTAGCTGACTATATCATTTACATAATAGATGTATCTGGTGGTGATAAAATTCCTCGGAAAGGTGGTCCTGGAATCACACAAGCAGACCTCCTTGTGAGTGCTACATGCATAAATATTTGGTTGTGGTGCTTCCCAAAAAAAAGAAAAAACACTTAAATTTTGTTGTTTTAACTGGACCCTTTTCTTTTCTCTTTTTTAAGGGGAAAAAAAACGTGATTTTGGAACTGATTGGACTTGGTTTCCAGGTGATAAACAAGACTGACCTTGCACCAGCAGTTGGAGCAGATTTGGCAGTCATGGAGCGTGATGCTCTTCGGATGCGAGATAGTGGACCTTTTGTCTTTGCACAGGTTTGTCAAAACACATTGCTATTTGGATGTAATAGTACTCTTAAAACAGAGCAAACTACTTATTCACCTCATGTGGTCCGTTCTCAAGTTTCTCCAGCTGCTGGACTGCTATTATTTGGCCCAACTTTCTCTCTCCCTTCCTTTTTTCTTGGGTTTGAGATCTGATTAGTTATTAGCAGTTGCAGTAGGCATAACAAGCCCATCACATTCTCGTTAGAGCACTGCCAAGTTCTTCTGATTTCAACCCTGAACTGCTTTGTCTGTTTAGAAAACTTCAAGCTGGATATCGAAGCGTGATTTTATCTGCCAATGAAACTTTACTATTCAAAAGTGGGTGTGACTGAAATTTCAATAGCTCATGGTGTGTATGGTTATCCGCCCATGTGTTTTAAGCTCGTAAACAGCTTTTTCAAGTTCTTGAATACTTTATTACAACTGAAATGTTCAATAAGACTAAACTTATTCCTGTCTTGTTCAACCTCACTACGAACCCAGCGTTTGGGTTTTTTCCCCATTTCCAAATTTCATAATCCTAGCCACATATTTTTTTTTTTAAGCTCCCAGTTTCTTCTTTTCCCCCCTCTTTTGATAATTTGTAAGAAGAGAACAAGATCCTTAAATTACTTGTCCCTGGCTCCTTTTGAACTTGTCATTGTTGTCCATTGTTATGATTACGTGAAATTATCTGTGTACAGGTGAAACATAGGATTGGGGTAGAAGAAATTGCGAATCATGTGTTACAATCATGGGAAGCAGCTACTGGAAAGAAGCGCCATTAACATTTCTTTGAAAAACTGTGCCATGTGTTCTGTCATTCCATGGATATTACTGTGAACATCTTCAAAATATGTTTTTGTGTTTATGCGAAATCTCCTTCTCCTTTACTGATGTGTTACATTGCTTATGGACATTTTGGAATATAGGAAAAGGCGAATAAATAAAAAATTTCTTATTAGCCTCGTTTTAAAGCTTAAATTAATGATACTTGGATAGTTTCTAAAATTTTCAAAGGTTTGAAGAGAAAAGGAGTGAAGAAAATTATAATCTTCTCGAGTAAGATGGCTATTGACCATTAGTTTATTACTGTATTTTCTTCCATTGAGAAAACTTGTTATAATTTCCGTCACAAACCCCTTCTCAAGCTTATATGAGAAGCATTTCTGAGATCATTTTATTCGTCACTCGGATTCAGTGAATAAGAATGATGACCTCCTTCCCTGAGAGAGAGCCTTGGGCGTTGCTATTATATGATGGCTTAAAATGAAAGCATGGATGATTGCTTGCTTGTTTATGAAGATGCAATTGCAAGGCAACCCAGTCCATGAACAAGACCACAAGCTTTTATTTCAAGCGTTCATTTTCTGTCATTCCTTTAAAATATTCCTCATGCATGATCCTTGTGACTTGGTGGGTGAAAAGAAAGTTTTTATATCCTGATGCATAATTTTGATGTTAATCATGTATGTTTTCCAAAACACAATTCTTAATTTTGATTCCTAACTTAATCATCAGTGCACAAACTACTTGCATAATCATCAACCCATTCTCTATTCAGTTCATATCCACACTCCCAATATCACATAAAATATATTTTTTTAATCGAATAAAATATTCAATTCACATATAAAAGGAATACCCATAACAAAAAGGAGAGGAAAAATAAAGAAGAAAAAGTGATAACATAAACAAATAAAAGCTCACCTTTTTTTTTTCTTCGACTGATCTGCATAAAACCACCACCTTCCGCTTGCATAAAGTGCAGACACCAAAAAAATGGTGTGAAAGTGAGCCAACCCCCATGGTTAAAAGAAACTATAGACAAATGGACAGTAAAAAAAGTAAGCCCTTGTTAGTCAAACAAGTTGCTAAGTGCATTTTTCTTTCCACAAGCTACTGGTAACAACTCGTTCTGGTTCTGCAAATGAGGAATGTCTTGATCAGAAGGGACAGTTGACTCAGTGCCTGGAATCACCCTTTGCTTCTTTATATACTCCATCTTGTCTTGTAAGAGGTAAATCAATGTAATGCAAGAGACTTGTGCTGTGAAGAGGATAGTCCAAAGCCTTGTGCTTTTTAAGGTTCTCTTATAATAAGCTTTGAGACCTGTGTAAATGTTGATGATCCCCACAAAAGAAATTATTGTCCCTAATATCCAGTGAACAAAGTACCAATAAGTCCTCTCTTTCTTTTGCCTGCAATGAAGGGTTATGGTTATGCAAAGAAAGTTATGAGGGAAACTTGTGAGAAGATGGGTATCATTAATGAATTAACCTGTGAGGCCTGAAAAATCCAATTAACGCTTGAACCAATATAGCACCATAAAGTGCAAGACCTAGTCTTTGATGGTTGTTATCAAATGAATTCTCAAAATTTTTGAGGGACATGGCAGCTCCAATTGTAGCAAGCAGCACCGAGAGCATCTGTTAGATGAAATATTAGGCTCTGTACAATGAGGAAGGAGAGACAGAAAATTCAAGATGCATTTAAATACCCATGCGTTTCAATTTAGTTAATGAACAGATATTTTATCAGCTACTCGAAGTAAAATCATAAACCATGAATGAAAGCAAATCTAAGCAATGATATCGCAGTTCAGGTCTAAGTGAGTATAAATTCTTATAAAAAGTTGTGGGCGGACCATCACTAACTAAAGTTAAAGTTGGGTTATGATTATGCTTTAAACAAAGATCAGAACTTCAATGATGACATTCTGCAACTTTCAAGAAGCATCTTTAACTTCACTCAACTAAATCTAATTACCACTGCAGTTTAACTGTAGTTAACATTTATCAGTTAAAACGATTTTTACAAGAATTAATAAGGAGTTACCTCCCCAAAACTAACAAACAGGGAGAAATTTATGACCTGAAATGCAACATGGAGATAAAAGAAGACCCTATTCCTTGTTGATGCATTTTCCCCTCTACTTGACATTCTGATAGCAAGTATCCCTAATGGCATTGAGAATCCCACGGAAGCCCACAGGAGCAATCCATGAAGTGCTATGTCAGATGTCTTCTGAGAAATGATCTGCTAAATTAACTTACTGTAGTTAGACACTCAATTCTTTTAACAGCATCAGAAAGACTATTATGAGAAACAGTGTTTGAAATTGGCAATAGACACTCTGTCATCTCGAGAAGAAAAGGAAAGAATGAAGAGGTAGAAGAAGAGAGTGAAAGAGATGAAGAAGAAGAAACAATTGTCCAGTAGGTTTACCTTGTTGATTTTGTGGTTTGAGCTCTTGTTACTACCAGACTGACTCACCTCCTTAAGGAATGAACACTCAACTAAGGAAAGTGCAGAAACATGACATGAAAGGATAAAAATGAAGACTGGCCTCCAAGAAATATGCATTCTTCAATGCTTCAGAACAATAAGAATAGCAGCAACTAAGAATCACTGTGTTCCCCTTATATGTGTGTGCTTCAAGTTTAAGAAGCTTTAATAGTATGATTGTTCTCTAGATGGTAGAGAGAGCTTTAAAAGTGTGGTGAAGACACTGCATGCACTTTTTGTATAAAGAAGCTAAAAGGAGGATTTGTATTTGAATACTAAAAAGGTGGTGCAGTGGCTACAAAACCCATAAACACGTCCAATATGGGGTAGTTGGATGAATGTATGCATTCATTATAATTTAGAGGAAAGGGAAAAAAGGAGGGAGGAGTGAGATCTCATTTTTCAAATGTGGGGTTTGTTGACATATTCATTGTTTCATACTCCGTCAAGAACTTGTTGAATTATAGAACACAAAGGGTCAACATCCAATGGATGCATAAGGAGCCTGATTTGATGTGGACACTTTGTAAAGTTGAAGAGGATAAGATTCAAAGACAAAGGTCAAACCACACTATTACTACTCTCTACTCTAATTATTTATTACTTTTATTTGTAGCATTTTTTTTTGGTTGATTTTTGGAATTGATATAATTACAGTCAGTTTCATGAAGAAAACTCATGACCAGTTATAATATATTTTCGGTCCATTTGGATTTTGGAAAATTGTAATGTAGTCTTGTTCAAAAACAATTAAACTGTTTTCTTATGTCTTCTTTTGAGCATAATTCCAGTTTATTCATTTATCTCGTAACTAAATATTTTTCTCTCATGTGAATGGGATAAATAAAAGATTAAATGAAACAGTACTATTTTTGACATTTGAATCATGTAAAAAAATTGTAAAAAATAATTAAAGAAAGAGAAAACGTTGCATGGAACTAGAAGAGTCATAGCACTCATGGTTTATGAATAAAACGGCTGCGCGTAGATTTTTTATTTAGAATAATATTGATGATAATTTAAAGCAAAGTTTGATGGTACAGCTTACAAATTGTGAATGTAGAATTTAGTTATTTCCGAGATATTATGAAACTCATATTCTAAATTGAGGAGGATAAGGTAACCTTGGAGGACATGCGGGAAGAGGAGAGAATGAAGATGGCATGCCAGTAGGTTGAAGGAGAAATTGGACGTTGTAGGAACAACGATGAAATTGGTGGTTGCCAATTGTCAATCTGCTGCCCGCAACTGCATCATATTGTTGCCAAACTTTCAAGTCATGCAAATATTTTCTCACTCCGTTTTCTTTTTTTTGAATATGACTATTTGAATGGGTTAAATTTGAGCATTTTTGAGCTTAATTGAAAGTAATTTTCTCAAATGTTTTCTATATTTACATGAACTTGAACTCAAAACATCACATTTAAATGGCTATAGCTTCTTTCCATTAACACTTACAACCGTTAATTTGTTATTTGATTATCTTCCTTTGCTACCAAAAAGCACTGGAGCCAAGCATTGCAGTCCCTGATAGTAGGAATTTGCGGAGGGCCATCAAACTAGCCTGTTTTCCTCACATTATTCAGGGTCCGTTATAAAATTGGAGGAGGGGGGGATGCGAAAAAGGGCTTATGGTATCAAGCTTTAAAACCCTGAAAAAAGAAGAAGAGGACATGCTCTTGCTAGCCCAAATTTCGTGTGTGTGTGTGTAACTGTAAATGTGATTTTATCAAGTTGATTGACCTAATTGATACCGGGGTGAAATTGAAATTGTACTAGTTCAGGACAGAATCCAAAACACGAATAAGAAATAAAAAAATAAAACAAAGAAATGTAAAGATGAAAATATAATAAAGGATAAAAGTAAAGATAAATGAAAAAAATAAAGGAAGATAAGGATCAAGAAAAAGGATAACTAGAACAACCTACTTCTAGCAACCTTAATCTTTAAAACACTACAAGAGTTGATGAGATTCTTAATCACATTAGTATTCACCTTAAAATTCCCACAAGTAAGTATAGCTCACATGGAAAATTTTACCAAATGCAAGAGAAAATTTTCATTCATAACTTTCTTGTCTAAGGAGTATATAAGGGGACTTATTTATAGACAAGAGAATAGAAAACTCTAGAAACCCTAACCTTATATGACTCCCTCCAAAAGTGGTGGCTCTTCTTGAACAAATTAGAAAGATTCCATAATTTATGGAGATTGGGTAATAAAGACTAAATAGAAGAATTCAACAACTTTTTTAAAAACTAACGTATTAATCACTAAGTCAAATCAACTAATAAATAAAAGGGAATCAACATTAAAGTCGAGAATGAAAATGAAAAATATTAAAGAATTGAAATTTAAACTTTGAACAAAATAGGAAACAATTTAAATTTGCATTGAAGGCTTGAAGAGAATAGGAATCATGCCATTTAATGCCTTCAAATCAGCTCCAAAAAACGTGCTCATTATCCTACCCCACACTTATCACATTGTGAGTAAGTATTCATCAAGCCTTGAATGTTTCGGGTTGGATCTTTATTGTCTTAGGTCTTAGGTAAGTTTTCCTTAAAGGGAACAGGTTTAAAAACATCCCTTTAGTGGCTTGGAAGAGGGACATGTCAACTTTAATGATTGAGACTTGATTCATGTTGGTCTCCTCTCTTAGGCCCTTATTGGGTTGGTCTTTGGACTCCTCTTCAAGATACTTGGACTCTCCATTTGATTGGGCTTGAACTATATAGATCTCTATTAAAGAACCCTCATTGGATGCCTTCTTGATGGATTGAGCTCCTATTAATGGGCCTTCAACACTTGATAGTGGATCTTTAGACATAACAGACTTGCACCCTTAGACTTAAAACTTGTTGAACATGTGTAGGACCTCCTTGGCTCCTCCAAGCATACCACTTTCACCCTTTGGGCCTTGCTCCTCATAGTCAAGCCCCAACATCTTAATTGTGTTAGATGAAGTTCTTTGTTGGCTCTCTAGAATGGCGTCACTAACCCCACTAGAGTGAAGGGTGAAATATTTTACTTTTGGATAATGTTGATGAGGATGAATGAAGATTTAGTTTTGGATTTTTAAAAATTTATATGTTGTCCTTTAATACTTGGATTGGTATCGTGCAAATTGAATTTTAAAACATTTTTTTTATCTTCTGAAATTTAGATATTTAGATATATATTACAGTAATGTGAAAGTTAATTTTTATTTTTTAAAAAAGTTATCCAAAAAAAATATTATTAAGGCTTTTGAACTCAAGTTTAAACCTGGTCAATTAGTGTTATATTTTAAGAAATGATCAAAATTAAGTACACAAAACTCCTAAGTCTGAGCTTATATGAGTCAAACCTGTCCATGTCCTAGTTCCATTGCAACGCCACCCTAACTAGCTGGGTAATGGGTGGGGGATCATCAATACAATATCTAATTATTTATTGAACCTAAATGTACACTCAGTTTTCTTCATCAATTAGCAAGCCCTTTTTTAATGAAACAAAAATACTGTCTTTAGCCTTCTTCAAGACATATCCAACGACAAATTAGTTTCTTTTTTATGTAATTTATTTGTTAATATTTTTTTCATAATTTATTTCTTTGCTAACAATAATTAAAAGGGCAAAATTAAGGTTAGGCAGAGCAAGGGCTTTAAAAGTTTCCACTGTGCGGCCCACAATAAGATCTGGGGCAGGAAAGAAAACTAACGGCCCACCATAAGGGACTGAAACTGGGAAGATATAAAAAAAAAATGGGTCGTTTAAGAAATTATGTTAATCTGAAAGGCAGTTCAGCAAATTTCGTTTCTCTGGTTCCAAAACCCTAATCTGTTATTATCCTCTTTTATATAGGGAAAGCGCACGCGGCCTCCCTCCCACTTGGCCAGGGTCTTTGAAGGAGCAGAACCAGTGACTCATCAGCCTTGACCCTAGCGTCAGTGTCTCGCAACCATGGTAAGGAAATCGCGCTGGAACTTATTCTGTTTGATCTCCTTTTCGTGCACGCACTGTCTTAATTTTTAAACTGCAAATTCTGTAGCTTGACGTTCCTGAGGGAATTGACCGATAAAATTAATGACTTTTGTCTATGTAGTGAATGATAATTGTTAACTCCTGAATGTTGGTATATCTGCAATATCTAGAGTTTATTTTGGATACATTCCTTCATTTCATTACGTGTTTCAACAGCAGTAGAGAAGGCAAATAATATATTTTCCTAAAACTGACGCTTTCGCAAATTCTTAAAGCGGACATTGATTTCTTCTTGTTTGCCTTATCATGGTTTAAAAAGCTGATAGATTTAGGGCTGGTGCAAGAGCAGCCCATATTTTTTAAAGCAAGACCAAAGCTGAAGTCTTGAGATTTAATTTCGTTTCAGTTTAAGATTCACAAGATGGGGTCAATTCTAATATGCTCTTTATGTATTGTAGTCAAGGAGAAAGGTTAGGGAGCCAAAGGAGGAGACTGTTACCCTTGGCCCTACAGTAAGAGATGGTGAACATGTTTTTGGTGTGGCCCATATTTATGCATCATTCAATGACACCTTCATTGTGAGTATATGATATTTTATCCTGTGTAAGTTTGTATTCCTTAAGCCAGGTTGCAATTGACTTCGTTTTTCTTATTTAATTTTTACAGCACGTGACTGATTTGTCTGGGAGAGAAACCCTTGTCCGCATCACTGGTGAGCTTGTATCTCATTCATTCTAAGGATGTTATGAAGCAAGGATTATCATTCAGTGGCTATTATTCCTATTTCCGGTTTTTATACTAACTAGAACTAGAATTGGGTTGTGTGGGGCATGGAGTTTGAAGTGAGTTGCTCTATTTATGAGAATACAGCACACACATTTGTAGTGTTATCATAATTGATCACCTTTTGATGTCTATATATTTTGGGGTTTTAGGACACGCATTTTGTTAAAGGGTTATGAACTTAAATTCTTGCTGTGCCCATTATTCACCTAGAAATCTCTTATCTGGTTAGGAATTTTCATTATTATATGTCTCTTTCCATGGTCTTGTGATGACAGTTATGGTATTTTCTATTGTCATCGTTCTCATAATTTTAGGTGGAATGAAGGTTAAAGCTGATAGAGATGAGTCTTCCCCATATGCTGCTATGCTTGCTGCACAGGATGTATCTGCTAGATGCAAGGTCTGGGACTTATTGATAACTTTAGTTATTTCGATTGATCTCATTGTAACATTATGATGTGAATATTGTGTTTGCTGCTAAATTTAAAATTAATATAATATAAACGTTAGATGATTCAATATGAATACAAGCATGCTGCTAAAACATTTTATGTTGGTGGTTCATTTCGTCAGAATGTTTAATTCGTTGACTAAGTCAAAACTTTATGTGGCAGGAACTTGGCATCACTGCTCTTCACATCAAGCTCCGGGCCACTGGTGGAAACAAGACAAAAACACCTGGTCCTGGTGCTCAGTCTGCTCTCCGTGCCCTTGCTCGTTCTGGAATGAAAATTGGTCGTATAGGTAATGAAGAATCTGTAATGGAATGAAATCTTCATGTATAGCTGCAATAGTAACCTTGCTGTAACTCAATCTGTAACCTTTTTTTTTTTTTGCCCCAGAGGATGTGACTCCAATTCCTTCTGATAGCACTCGCAGAAAGGGTGGTAGAAGAGGTAGAAGGCTCTAAAGCGTGTTATGATATATGCTGGGCTCACCTGGCTATATTGTTTTCTTCTACTTTCTAGACAGTATCGTATCATCACGAGGTTTAGCTTAAGTTGAACTTCAATTTTGGAATTATATTGAATTTCTCACTATTGTCTTGTCCAATGATTTTGTTTGAGTCAATCAAAATGTTATAGTTACATACTTCGCCAATTTCTGCGCATTGCTTCATCGATAGGGCGGTTCTGCCAGTTTTGTTAAGTTGGCTTGTTGACGTTTTGTACCTATACCGATCCTTCATTGAGGTTTGTTGTGATCCTCTCGTACGCTATGCTTCTGTTATAGGCCTTTTTAACACATAAAGCTCTTTCTTGCGATGGGGGAATGGTGTGCCTTGACTCGTGGATTTAACACCGCTTAAGTCACTGTTAGTAGCATCGAAAGGACAGGGTTTTATTGTTTTAATTGGGGCCTGGTCAGTGCTCAAGAAAATCACACCGGCTTTGTCGTTTGGAATTAACTAGCATCTCATTAGATTTTGAAGCATGCTTATTGGTACCCAGGTTAAAATGATGAATATTTAGTATGGTTTGCTTGTTAAACTCGTGAAGATCTATCAATTTTATAATCATACCCTTCCTCATTGTTGCCAGTTCTGAAATTATTTTGGCAATTCTTCTCCAATGGTTTATGGTTTAAACGATGAAGTTGTCATAGTTAAAATCAACAAGGCAATCTATATGATCATGGTTTCTTCAGTTTTCAGCAATTGTTTTAGAACAAGTGCTTTAGCCATGACATTCAAAATGGCCAATAGCTATTAAAGATGCCAGCATCACAACTGAAATTGTGAAATTGCCGGAGGGTAAATTCTCTACATGTCGAAACTTGGCTACTAAGCTGTCAAGACGGTTGAATTCTCACTATGCTTGGCATGTTTGGTCGTTTAGCTGAGTCAGGTTTTCATTGTATTCGAGTTTTGCATCTCATTTGTCATTTTGTTCTCGCCGATGTAGTTTGTGGACTGACTTCTTTGTTCTCGTTTCTGAACACTCACCCATTTGCGTTATCTTGGGAAAATAATTAGGGACCTTATAAAGATATCAAAATATTGAAAGGTTAGAAAAAAGATTATGATCTTTATTTGCAAGTAAAATATTTTTAATTATTGAAATAACTTGTAGAAGGTCAATTAGGAATTTAAGGAAGTTGATTGTGAATTTAAAAATGATTGCTTATAAGCATATGAAAAGTCAACTATAAATGGATAAATATATTCATAAATATATACATTGTCACTTAAGAATTTAAGGAGGATTGTTTATGATTTTTTGAAAAAATACTTGTCAATATATAAAAAATCAATTGTGAATGGATATTAAAAAAAAATGAAAGTCCATAAATTATTGATTTACAATTAAAACTATTTATATTTATTCACAATTGACAATCTATTTATTTCCAAATAACATTTTTTAAATTCACAAATAACTATCCTTGAATTGGAAGTTAAGCATGAATTTATGAAATTATCTAGTCTTTCACAACTTAAGTTTCATAAATTCATTATTCACCTTAAAATTCACAAGTAACTAACCAAAAATTCACAAGTGATGATAAATAAATTCAAAAAATTATCTCTCTATTTACATGCTCTCCATTGATTCACAAGTAACATTGAATTAAATTCATAACTCACCTTACTTAAATTCATGAGTCAAATTCCATTAATTATTTTAATAATTATTTAGCTTTAATTACAAATAAAGACTATAGTCCTTTCATAACATTTCAATAATTTGAGATCTTCAATTGTGATTAATATCTTCACTAGGTCCTCAATTATTATTTCCCTATCTTTCTTTTGAATCTTGATAGTTCTAATATGTGATTTGTAAGTTGTAACAAGTCAAATCCGTATTACCAACTTTCAGCTATCCTGTTAGCCAACAAACAATTTGTTTTACCTTGAATTAGCAAGTGAATAGTTGAATGAACTTGAATGGTTAGCATCAATCCAAAATCATGATGAGGGAGTAAAATTGAAACGACAAGCTCAAATGAAGACAAAACTAGGCTTGTTCCCAGAAGTTGTGCCTTAGTGCGGCCCTTAAGATTTGGAATGAGGGATGCTGAAGACTATTGGGTAAACATGATATTATTATCTAACATGCTACAAATCTTGTGGGACTGTACTAAGTGATTATAGATATTTTGCATGCGGGCTCTAAATTCTTTGGGAGCTATAGTCTCAAATGTATGATTATAAAAGTGACTTAATGCAATCAAAACAACAATATAAGAACAAACGAAATACAAACCATCCACATCAAAACAGTCTCAAATTTACTTTTTCAAATCATTTACCTTGTATTCCACAATTAAATTCAGGTTTATTTATAGTTCATAAGTTGTAATTACTGCAACTTTATATTTCGCTTTTCATTAATAAAAAAACACCATTTATACTAATCTCCTTACATCTTTACATACGAGTGAACTAAAATAAAAAAAATCTAAGAACCCAATATTTATCTTTGAGACTATATGTTTCTAATACACCTAATTTTTGTTGTTCAAACACAACATTCAATTTGTGAAATGTGTAAATCAGATCACTCTTCATCGTGAAAGAAAAGGGACTTCCAGTCCTTGGGATGTCAGCAACTGCCTCAATAACCAGCTTGGCAGCATCTTAATGATCAGGGACTGAATAAGCAGCGCTGAAGAGTGAAGTCAACACAATTGACAGTTTCTATTGATGCACAAAGAACTTTGAGAAATAACATAAACTTGACAAACACAAAACTATAGCATAAACTGAAGGCCAGTACATTCCATTTCTCTTGCCAAATACTATAAACTAAAAACCACGTTCACGTACAACACACGTGGGCGTGTGACTTTCACTAACTCCCCTGTTCCACAACGATATGTTACATTGCCTAGTTCCTCAATTACAAAACAAATCCCTTCACGCCAAAACCCAAACTAGGCCCAAAATCCAAAGCCCCAGCTTTACCAAACCCAGCCCATTTCTTCTGGACCCAGAGAACCAGACCCTCACATCATCAACCACAGGGCCACAGAGAGAGCTCATATCATCACTTCTGGTATTGTAATACACACTGTAGAACGCAACTCTAGTCCTCTCAGCCTTGGCCGTGAAATTGAGTCTTTCACTTTGGAAAGTAGAATTTGAGTTTGGGGTGTAATGGATGTTTTGAGCTTGATCACCAGCAAAGGCCATAACAGCAAGAGGCTGCTTGCACTTGTCATTTGCATGGCCTAACAAGAAGGTCAAGCTGTATTCTTTGTTTGGTGCTGTCTCAACCATCTGAGATATTATGCCTTCCTTTCCTGATAAAAGTTCAACGGCCCTCCTCCCCTGCGGGACGGCGTAGTGATCCGAATCGATGTAGCGGACCGCCCGGTTCGACTCGACCATCCAACCAGGCAGTGAGGATGTTTCTTCATCCAGATTTGTGGGAAGTAACACTCCTAGTGATGTGTTTCTGAACACCCATGGACCCTCTTCAAAGTCCCCATTGGTTACTGCGTTCTCTGCACAGTTCAACACAAATGATGGTGAATTGATTTTTATCAAATGGTATGCTTTGAACATTGTTCAGAGGGAACTGTGATAAAGTCTACTCAATTATGAAAATAATATGATGTTCACATTTATAGGAGTACATAGTTGAGAGAATCAATTATTGAAAACTCAAAATAATAAATATCCAATTTAATAGAATCCAATGATTCCATCAACTAGAATGAGCTGTTATTCACTTCTAGGTCCATAAGGATTTCTATTCAATTACAGTAAATGGCAATTAAAAACACCAACAACTACTTCTGAATGAAACATGGGAGAATTACTATCCCACCTATTTAATCACTACATGAATCATGCATTGCACGTACCCCAGCTTGCAAGAGTCAAAATGAAAAAAGTTGTTGACATAATCCAAAATTTATTGTAGTAGTTGTATTAGGATAGGATCAAACTATCCTAGAACTTAAATGAGAGAGAAGCAGTGCAAGGAAGGAAGGGGTACCTTTGGGCTTATCAGGAGTGAAAAGCTTCTTAATAGCAACGTTGTCAATGATGGGCCCACAAGTGGGGTCATCCTCCATGCCGGGATTCTTAAACACCAAACTAGCCTTATCCTCCTCGGCGCTGAAAGACCAGGCGTAAGGGTCCCACCCTTGCACCGTATACAGTGTCTGCAGGTCTATGGTCTGTGATGCAGGCGGCACGGACACGTTGATCGACTCCAGCTGCGCGCACGTGCGAGCAGCACTGAAGGTGACGGAGTAGATTGAGCCCTTCTCCACCGTCAGATCCTGCCTGATCTCAGCGTCGTTGCCGAGCCTCGCCGCGTGTCTACCTTGTGGTACGATGAGGATCATCCCACCCTGTTTCTGCCCCGCCTGCACCAGCTCCACCGTCCCCGTCGATTTCCAGATCGGTATCTCAGCTGGGCCCTCCGCTATGGCCTCGCTTGGAAAACCATTCGATGGGGCCATCTCGAAATCCCCGTTTGGCACCAACCCTGTGGTTTTTCCGGTCATCAGAAATCCATTTTATAATAATAATATATTGGTCACGTGGACGACATGTATGTGTATGTATTGTTAAGTGTTGAAGTTGCAACAAACACGAGGCTGCAAGCAACAGTGTAAACGACAGAAGCATCAAAGCATAACGTAACGTGGGACGAAACACGTTTATTACTAAACCGCGTTAGATGCTCAAGTGGAACCATAGTGCATATATGGAATCTATCATCGACGTCTGACTCCCATACTGTTACAACAAAGTCACATTGGTGATATGTGACACATGAGACAACCTTATTATATGCTTCGTTGCGTTAGAAGCCTTGTAAATTTTCATCGTCTCTCTCTCCCTTTCTTTTTCCTTGTGCAAAGCAAGCATTATCAACGTAGGAACTAAGAACATGTCAACCATGTCTCCACATACATTTGTCTCTTTTTCATTCGCTTAGCGTGCTCCCGCATGTTGATTTTTGGTCCGTAGTGGTATACAATGCACACGTAAAACAAGTGAATGACAATGATAAAGAAAGAATTGTAACATCTAACAAATAAAAGATAGATTAAAAAATATATAAAATTTAGGTGTATTTAATCAAACGGCTTACATTATTTTAGTGAAATATACTGCTTCCAAGCATATTTAATATAAAAAGTTTAATATAAAAAGTTTAATATGATACTTTCAAACACACTTAATATAAAAAATTTAATATCATATCATTCAGGAATACCAAAAGCAAAAAACTAAGAAAAAGGGAGAAAAAGAAAGAAAAAGAATGAAAGATGAAAAATATATAAGATTAAAAAAAAACAGGGAGAGAAGAAAAAGAAAAATAAGAAATTGAACAGGACGAGAGTTACTTCAGGAAAAAAAAAAGTCCAAACCCAAGCAAGAGATAAAAAGAAAATGAAAACAAACCAAAAAAATAGATCAGCAATAGAGGGAAGAATAGAAATAAAAAAAATTACACATCTACAATATAAAAGATAGATTAAAAATATATAAAATTTAAGGTGTGTTAATCAAACAGTTTTATTTATTTTGATGAAGTAGACTTCTCTCAGCATACTTAATATAATGAATTTAACAAATGAGACTTAAAACTTTTATCTTTTTTATAAATTACTTCTAATATGTTTTATTAGAATTGAGAAAAACTTTAACCTTTATTAACTTTATTTTAAAATTTAACAAATTCATACTTTTAATTTTAATAAATATTCTTAAATCTTATTACTGATGTTTTTATTTAAAATATTTAATAAGGACAAAAATATAAAAAAAATATTAAAAATTAACAAGTGCCCTATCTTAAATGTTTTTTTCTCTCTACCCAATAAATAGGACCAAAAAGTAACAGCAATCACCTAATCCACCAAGGAGTTACAAAGTGCTAAAGCAATTAAATGCAATGCCTTGGATCGATCTAAAGTTCAATTTGTGAGAATCTTTTTAACTTTTAAGCTTTTTGTTCGTCGAACTTGACATCCCTCTAATTAATATGACTTAAAGAGACAACGAATTTGGCATTTATCAAGACACTAAACTTCGATGGCGTCATTATAATTGCAACATTTATGCCATACTTTCAGATGAAGAAACCAAACACAGAACCCTTGCGCTCAAAAAGAGAGCTTACAACATATCTCTAATTATTAGGCTATGCTCTTTTGCAATAACATTGCTTTTTTTCCCCCCTTGTTTTCAAAGACACAGATGTTTGGCCATGATTCTTTTGCAATTAATATATATTATTATGTTTTCCTATTTTTGGGTTTTAATATTAACGCCTATCATTTTCAAGAGGTATAATATTCGGATAAGCTTATCCAAGTATGGGCCTCAAGTGTGAGAAAGCCCATCCTAGAACGAAAGAACGAAAAGAAGTTAGCTGTTGGCTTCCCATCTTCATTCAAGTTATGCCTTCCTTCACTTTCCTCCCGTAAAACGACAAGAGAAGATGTTGACGACAACAAATTGGTGGAGCCTCTGTGGTCCAATTTCAACAACAACCAGAGAAGCCGCGTTGAGAATGCGGGCCCCAATACGACACGACACGGCACATCACCGCCGTTTAGTAGCTGGCGTGGCTTTTGCCTTTTCTCGCTTTACTGAAAAGCCCCTTCTTTTTTGTCAAAATAGGTGGGAAAAGGAAAAGGTGAGTGATATTTGGCGGGAAGCCTTATGTCAATAAGGTCATTTCGCATCCCTAGGAGAAGAGGAAAGTTCGCATGCTTGGGCCCCACAAACTCAGCGGCTTCCCATTACCCTCTCTACCTCTATGCTAGGGTCCTCATAATGCTTTCTTTTTTAATATTAAAAAAAACCTACTTTTTTCTTTTTGTGTTTTACAGCTTCTTTTTTGGGTAAGCATGTTTTATAACTTTTTTAACACAATTATCAGAACTATATATTCCGCTCCTACTATATTGTACATTTTTAAAATATGAACATCATCTAAACCACTTCACTTTCAGACGTTAAAAACGTTCAAGGGACGGACCAAAAATGTAATTATTTATAATTATATATAAACATATAGTGAATAAAACATAATAATAAATGGAACCCAAAAAACGGTGGAAAATGTGAAAATGAGGACAAAGAGGTGACTTGAGGAGTAAAAGCAATGAGTGAAGAATCACAGAAAATCACTAAAGGCGGGGCAAGTGGAGTGGGGCAGAACTTGACGACCATGATCATTCAAGTGGTAAAATCAGTTTGACAAGTTGGCCACCCAATGTTAAATTCACTCGCTTTTCAGCTCGAGGGTCCCTATGGATTCTCAAGCTGAAACAGCATATAGTTTTATTGCAGGTTATGACTTAGATTCCAGAACTAAGCTCAAGCCCAAAACAGCAAACGACAGATCCTTAATCTTCCACGTTCAAACCAAAATCAGCACAATTCAGTGGAGCCAACCCCACTGGTTATTAGTGGAACCACAATCACCTGGAAAATCAATGCTCAGAGCTTACCCCACCGAACCCAGAATAATCACTTTACCATGAACACGCTGTAATAATACTATAAATATCAATTAACACATTCGTACTTCGTTCCAGAGTGTGGTACTACAGAATAGAAAGAAAACCCCCCAAAATATCAGAAACAGTAGCCACATTGAAGCAAACATGACAGGTATCTTATGGAAGAAGAGAAACCGGCACTTGAATGAGATCTCAGAAAGAAAAAAGAGAAAAATACCCCAGAAAAATGCATATAGCCATTATGAGACTCTTTCTAAGCCAATTAATGGAAAAAGAAAGCACCGAATTGACACAGGCACAGACACTTTCAAGCAGAAAGGTTAGAGAAGGTAGAGAACGTTACCATCCTCTGCCATGGCTCTCATGGCCAAATGAGGCAACAAAAGCATGAAAATGGAGACCCATTTCATTCTTGTAGAGCTCCGAGCCATCTGCCACCGATTACTCTCAATCTCTCTCTCTCTCTCTCTCTCTCTCGCGTTCTGGATGCTGTTGGTTTACAGGGATGCTCTCTTTTCGAGGTGCACAAAGGCAGAGAGGGCAGGGAAGGGGAGTGCGAGGATGTCCTTTTATGCAAGATCGAGATTCATGTACCCTCGTTTTTTTGCTGCATATTTTAAGTTAAAATTCATTTATTCTAACAAATTTTATTAAAAAATAATAAAATATTTTTTTATCTTATTTATAAATCATTTTTAATATATTTTATTACTATTAAAAAAAATTTTTAAACTCATTAATTTTATCTTAAAATGCAATAAGTTTTTAACTTTGTTTCTATTAAATATACACATTTCAATAACATATTTTTTCTTTCCAACATTCAACGAAGGGTAAAAAAGAAAATTTATAATAAAAATTTAATAACATGATTTATTAATAAGATCAAAAAAAAAATTTCTCTCTCTGCTTTATAAATAAAACCTGAGGGTAAGGGTGAGCAACGGTTCGGTTCGGTTCGGTCTCAAAATATGCAGAACCGATCGATCGAATAATATTGAAAATGAAAACCGAATCGAACCGAACAAACCAATCGAATCGAACAAGGATCGAACCGAAATTTGATAATTTAGTTCAGTCGGTTAATTCAATTTTTTTGGTTTCATATTGCGCTATTGAAATTAAACCCATTTTTTAAATATTAAAACAAACAACACTATAAAATTGGGTTTTTTTTATATTCGTTTTTTTCAATATAAGCCCATTCTAATTACACCTATATGACATAAAGTCTAAATATTATAAATGCATGGATAATCAAATAAACAATCACAAATAAACACCAATGATCAAATAATGACCTCATAATCCAGTCACAACACCTACTGATGAGAGTGACTAACTAAATAGGGTTTCAAGTGATGTTATTATTTTTTATTCTTTATTAAAATAAAAAATAAAAATAAAATAAAATAATTTATAAATTAAATATAATTTATAAATTAATAAATTATATGTAATTCGATCGGTTCGGTCTATTCGATTTTAAATTTTATTAACTGAATCGAACCGATCAACCGAAATATTTAAAATAAAAAAATTAAATATAATCAAAAAATCAAATAGACAAAATTCGATTCGATTCGGTTTGATTTTCGATTTCGGTTCGGTTTTGCTCACCCCTATCTGAGGGAGTATTTTAACATGTAATGGAAGCTAGGGATAGGAATTAGAGTGGGCTCGACCCTTAAAGACCTAGCCCTTATTGGCCCGGCTCTTAAGGACTCAGGTTTTAAGGTCTGATTATCTAAAATTTGACCTGATTTTAAGGTTTGATCTTTATTTAAAAGACTTAAGGCTTGACCCTTAAGCTTTTTTCCTAAAAAAAATTCATCATTTTAATTTAAATAGAATATTTTAAAATTTAACATAAAATAAATTAAAATCTCACGTAAAATTTGATAAAAATTTTAAATTTTATATTTAAAATAAAAATAAAAATCTTCATCAATGTAAATTTAAATCTTTCTCATCATTTAAAAACAAAATATTAAATTTCTGAGATGTAGATCCACTTATTAAAGATAAAGGTGAAGATTTATTGTTAATTATATCTATAATTTTTTCATCATTTATAATAAATATTAATTAAATTGTATCATTATCAATCAAATATATTTATGTATATGTATATATATGTAAAATAACCGAGCTTATTAAAACTTAAAGGACTATTCGAGTCCTAACTCTTTTTTATAAAATTTATCAGAATCTAAATCTTTATTTAAATTAGGCGACCATCCCAGCTCTTTAAGTTTAACTCATATTTTTGACTAACGGAAGCACCATGAGATTTTTTTTTTTTTTTTGGTTTAAATATATTAATTTATATTGTTGTTAGTTTTGCTTTTCCGTTTTCTGAGACTTCCGGTCTCACGGCGGGCCCGCCACACCACCGATTTTGCGGCAATCGACAGTGTTCCCAGGGCACGTCAGTGAATTGCTGAATTTATTAATACCTCTTATCTAATGGCCTTGGGGAGGGGGCACCATCATTTTTTACGGGGAAAAAAAAAATGCTTCTTCGTTGAAATAATTAATACTAAGTACTAACAGTAACATAAAGAAAAACTAAAAAAAAAGGACATTGCTATTGGTAAACTAGTATTGTCCGTTCAAAGAATGCAATGGCACAATGGGAGGAATTGTAAATTGTAAGGTCTCTCATTCTCATTTTCTTCCCTCAAACAAAATATAGATTTTTTTTTTTGAAAGGTGTCGATTTAACAGAGATAACTCATACACCTACGTGTGAAAACAAGGATCAAATCTTGGATCTCAGGGTGTCATTGCTTGAGGCAACCTGTTATTGGCAAACAAAATATTGATTGAACTTGTCGTATTCTAGGAAGGGAGGAGCCTCAGTCTAATTTAACTCAAAGATATAATAGCAGCTTGACGAGTTCAACGTTAAAGCTTAATCATGATTTAACAGTTAACCAAGTAACATTTATCAAATATGAAACTGTTGCTTTAGGTGGTTGATGTGATGGAAAGGGTGAAAAACATTTTGAAAAACACACAATTGTCATGAATATTATAAGAACAGTAAATATTCATCTTCATCACCTCTTTATCTTCATCTTCTCTCATAAAATTCTCACCATCATGAGAGTTGATACCCTTTATTTACTTTTATCATTTGTGTAACATTTGATGTATAAGATCATGTCTATAAATAGAGCATGTAATTTGTCTTTAAGGATGTAATAATTCATAAGAAATTCTCTCATTCTCTTATCTCTATTTCTTATCTCAATATCTTTATTTTTTAATTGTTAATTTTATAACACGTTATCAGCACGAAAGCTCTGATAATTTATAAGTTTTGCAGTAAGGTTTCTCATTGCAAGGTAATTTTTATATTCATATATAATTTGATCTATTTTCTAACCATTTGATCCTTTTAAACTTGTTTAATTTTAAATATTGTCTAACTCTTATCATATTTTTATTATAGTATCTATATGTTGAATCTTTCGAAACTTGAGTTTGTGGCTCTTGACATTATTAGAAAAAATTGTCTATCTCATATACTAGATGAAAAAATCTATCTAAATACCAATGGTCTTGGAGACACAATTAAGGATAGTAATCAAGCATCCAATCAAAATAAGGCCAAGACCATGATCTTTCTTCGTCACCATTTACATGAAGGGTTGAAAACTGAGTATTTAACTATAAAAGATCCTTTTGTTCTTTGGAACAATTTAAAAGAAAGGTATAACTATCAAAAAATTGTAATTCTTTCAAAAGCTCGTTATGATTGGATGCATTTACGTTTGCAAGATTTAAATCTGTGAGTGAATACAATTTTGTAATTTTTAGAATTAGTTCTCAATTAAAATTATGTGGGGAAAAAGTCACCGATGATGATATGTTAGGAAAAACATTCTCCACATTTCATGCATCCAACGTGCTTCTGCAGCAGTAATATCGTGAAAAAGGTTTTAAAAAATATTCTGAATTGATTTCTTGTCTTCTTGTGGCTGAACAAAATAACAATTTTTTGATGAAAAATCATGAATCTCGTCCAACTAGTTCTACCCCATTCCCTGAAATGAATGCAGTGCCAAATGAATCAACTCGAGTTTATAGTCGTGGTCGTGGCCATAGCTGTGGACGAGGTCGTGACCATGGTAATACATCTTTCCACCAGAAGTGGACAAACAATGAAGAGAAACACAAGAAAAGAATAAGTGACGATAATAATAATAATTTTGAAAATTTGTGCTACCGTTGTAGTAGTAAAGGTCATTGGTCACGTACCTGTCGTACTTTAAAATATTTGATTGATCTTTACCAAGAATTGCTTAAAAGTAAAAAAAAACAAAACGGCAAAAATAGAAACACATTTTACTTCTGAAGAAGGTGATTCTAATTATGGTAACATAGATGTACTCATTTGGATGTTGTTGATTTCTTTGCCGATCCTAATGGAAAAATTGATCACCTGATTGGGGATGGAAATGTTCAGAAATAAATTTCTTGGATATTGATGTTGTTAAATTTTATAGTTAAGCATCATTTTAATTTTCTTGCATTGGAATAAAGAATTTACTTATGATTTTTTGTTTTTCAATGAATAAAGTTTTTGTATTCCATGTTTTAATTATATATTTTTATGTTTTTTTAATAAAGAATGAGTATTCATCTGATTGGTACCAACAACAATAATGGATATATGTGTCTCGTTGATAGTGCAACAACTCATATAATACTCAAAAATAAAAAAATATTTTTCTTTGGTAATGCAAGAAGCCAATGTTCAAATTATATCTGGAAGTATAAAGATGATTGATGACTTTGGAAGAGCTAATATATTGTTGTTTGGAGAAACTAAATTACACATTGATGGTGTATTTTATTCTACTAAGTCTAGTAGAAATTTATTGAGTTTTAAGGATATCCGTAGAAATGGATACCATATTGAGACAGCAAATGAAGAAAATAAAGAATATTTTATTATTATGAATTTAATTTTTGGTAAAAAATGCACACTAGAAAAATTATCTATATTTTTTTCTGGCTTGTATTACATATTTATTAAATCAATTGAAATACATGCTATTGTAAACCAAAAGTTTACAAATGGTAATAAATTTAATGTTTGGCATAATCGGTTAGGCTATCCTAGGTCAATTATGATGCAAAAGATAATCAAAAAAATCATATGGATGTTCATTGAAAGGTCAACAAATCCCACATTCCTATGATTTTTCATGTGCTGCATGTTCTAAAGGAAAGTTAATTATTTGACCATCACCAACAAAAATAGAAAGTGAGTCTCTCACATTTCTAGAATACATACAAGGTGATATATGTGGGCCTATACACCCATATTTGCTTTATGGTTTTATTTGATATATCAACAAAATGGTCGCATATTTGCTTGTTATCTTCTCGTAACTTGGCGTTTGCGAGATTCCTTACTCAAATTATTAAATTAAGAGCACACTTTCCTAATTATCCTATTAAAAAAATACATTTAGATAATGCTGGTGAATTTACCTCACAAGCCTTTAATGAATATTGCATGTCTC